TCTGTGGGGCCTGGGGGGGGGGAAGTGTGATGGTCCTGCCCCTGTTTGGAGGTCAGCGGGGCAGAACGAAGCCCCCCCTGAGGCCCCCAGAGCTCCTGCCCCAGGGTCCCTGTGTCCCCAGGCTGCCCAGGCCGAGGAGCAGCTCCGGCAGCGCGCGCAGCTGGAGGAGCGACGCGTGGCCGACCTGGAGGGACGAGTGTCCGAGGTCTCCGAGCTGCTGGGCACGTATGAGAAGGCCAAGCAGAAGGACCAGGTGGTCATTCAGAAGCTGAAGGACCGTATCGTGCAGCTGGACCTGGAGAACAAGACCCTGGCCATGGCTGCCTCCAGCAGGGCCCCCCTGGATGTCCATGAAGAAGCCAACCTGGACGTGAACGTTCTGAAGGATAAAATGGAGAAGCTGAAGAAGCTCCTGCATGTGGCAGCTCAGAAGAGCCAACCCAGCCTGGGCATTGAAAAGCTGGGTGAGCTGGAGTCTCCAAAGGGCACCGAGGCTGCTGATGGGGAGAAGGCCACAGCTCTGTACTACCAGCAGGAGCTGAAGCAGCTGAAGGAAGAGTTTGAGAGGTACAAGATGAGGGCACAAGTGGTTCTCAAGAACAAGTCGGCCAAGGATGGCAACCTGGCCAAGGAACTGGAGGAGGCTCAGGAGCAGCTGGCTGACCTGAAGGAGAAGTACATTGCTCTGCAGCTGGCCTCTGATGAACTGGAGAAGCAGCACCAGCAGGACATGGAGGCCAAGAAGCAGGAGCTGTCCCAGCTGCAGCAGCTCCATCGGCAGGAGCTGGAGAGGTGCCAGCTGGAGTACAGGGAACGGGCTCTGAGGCTGGAGGAGGAGATGCACAAGCAGAGGGACAGAGCTCTGGCTGTGCTGGCAGAGAAGGACCAGGAGCTGGAGCAGCTGAGGTCCCTCACGTTGCCTTATGGGTTTCCAGGGTCCAAAAACCACCTGATGTCAGGGCCTGAGGCTCCTGGCGAGGACTCGGCAGGACCTGATTCCTCAGAGGTTCTGCCCCAGGCTCTTCACCTCTCCAGCAGCAGTGAACCCACCTTCATCCTCTATGCTGAGCAGCTGGCTCGGAAGGAGGTGGACATTGTTGCTCTGAGGAAGCAGAAACACAAGCTGGAGATGCAGGTTCACCAGCTCCAGGAGAAAATCCTGGTGGAGGAGGAGAAGCACCGGGAAGAGGTGTCAGCCCTTCAGAGCCAGATCGAGAAGAACTGCAGGGACAGGAGCAGGGAAGGAGCCAACCTGGAGTACCTCAAGAACATTGTCTATAGGTTCCTGCCCCTGCCCGAGTCCCTGGGCCGCCAGCAGACCCTGGGGGCCATCCTGACCATCCTGCACTTCAGCCCTGAGGAGAAGCAGACCATCACCAAGCAGTCAGCCCAGGGCAGCTGGTGGCTTTCTGGGAAGAGATGAGGTGGCAGCTTTTATCCCTGGCTGCTTCTGCACGTTCACACGTGTCTGGTGATGAACTGAGGGCACTTCCCTGGTGGTGTCACCTCCTCCCAGCCATGGGAGCAGGGACCTTCCAGCAAGGGACTGGGCTGAGAACACTGCTCCTAGCACTCGTTTAGAGTTGTGCCAACTTTTCCATGAGGATCATGGTGTTTTCTTGCTCTCTGGTGTGAGGATTTGCTCTTGAGCTGGGGCTTGACTTAAAAAAAAAATTAATTGAAGATCCTGGTGCTTTTTAAATACAATTTTAAAAGAACAACAAATCCCTACTTGTGAGGCTTAGGGTGAGGAGCCCTGCTGGGGGGTCCTTGCTGGTGTCTGCAGACAGGGGCTCAGAGGGTTTAGAGGGTGGAGGGAAGTAAAATAACAGCAAAAAGAGCTGAAAACCTGCAAGAGGAGGAGTCTGAACCTCCAGCATCACCCAGAGGCAGAGAACCTGGAGCCATTTCTCAGAAGTTTGGGGGTTTTTTTAATCATAGAATTCACAGGAATCCACACACTGAAGCCCAAGTTCCTGCCCGTGGATGTGACAGCTCCTCACAGCCCCAGGGCACAGGGGGACTGTCCTGCCCTCACTGCCCAGGGATTCTCCCTGCAGGTACCTCTGGTTTCCCAGGAAGGAGGGCAGGGATCCCCCAGCAGTGCCAGAGGTTCTGCTGGAGCAGGTGTCTGGGTTTGCTGAGCCTGTTGGAGGGGGCAGCAGGGGGGGTGGCAGGAAGGCTGGAGCAGCCACCCCAGCCCCCCCAGCTCCTTTTCTGAGCATCTGGGAGTTTCAGGCAAGTTTTGATGCTGTGAAATGTTGGTTTGGGAAGTTTTTGGAAGCAAGGCATTGCTCCTGATGGGATAGAAGAAGGGAAGGGGGGGATGATCACAGCTCTGGGGGCAGCCTGAGCCCTGGGCTTGCAGTGAGCAGGGGGGAGGATGAAGCCCAGACCAGCTGCTTCATGGACCTGGAAGTTTTGCTGCAACTTCCTTGCAAATGGGTGGGCTTGGCAGGGAGGAAGCCAAGAGGGTTTTG